GACGCCCTCGTCGACGACTGTGACCGGCCCTCGCTCTCTGTAGGAGCTGGGTCAAGGGGGGTCTGCGAGTCAGCAACCCCCTGCGGGTCGAAGTACCGCTTAAGACGTCCGACATAGAACGTCGGGTGCGTCGTCATTGACTTTGGAAGGTCGATGGTGTACGACGCACCATGTCTGGCCAGGACTGCAAAAGGTCCGATGAAGCGGTGCTTCAGCTTGTTGCTGCCGACAGAGCTGACAGTGTCTAGCGGTAGGTTCCTCGTGTCTAATAGCACTAAGTCCCCCACTTTAAATACACTTAAGTTTTCTCTTCCATGTTTGTTCTGAGTAACCTCTTTTGTCTATCTCTGGGCCGCTGCCATGGCATCGCGGACCTGCTGACATGTTCAGCTTGGTATCCCATAAAGGATTCTCATCTGTTTCGCAGCGAAACTGGCCTCACATCCGAGACCTGGGAGGAAAGGGCTTTCCGAGCCTCTCCCCCCACCTAGAATAGAGGAGTCAGTGTTTCCTCGAAGAGTGAGAGGCACTCTGGGGTGGCGGAAGCCGTTCAAGTAGAACGGCGTGAACCCCGTGGACGCGTGCACCGTGTTGTTGAGCGCAAACTCAACAACTGGAAGCTGCGTCGACCACGTACGTGGCGCTGCCGCGCACACACTGCGCAGAGTGTCCTCGAGCACTCGATTGACGCGCTCTGTTTGGCCGTCTGTCTGCGGATGATCCGCAGTGGACATCTGCAGACGAGTTCCCAGTAAAGGGAACAGCGTTTTCCAAAACGCAGCAGTGAACCGCGGGTCTCGGTCCGAGACAATCGTCTCCGGGAGACCGTGATAGCGGAACACGCCATCGACGAACAACCTTGCGGTTTGTTCGCCCGTCACAGTGACGGGAACTGGAGCAAGATGTACCATCTTGCTCAGCCGACACACGAACACCAAAATTCCGGTGTTGCCGTGTCCGTCGGCGGGAAGCCCAAAGATGAAGTCAAGACTCATCGACTTCCAACAATCAGCCGGTACGGGCAGGCTCTGTAGTGGAGCCGAAGAGTGCCCTGCGGGTTTAACCCGCTGACATGTTTCACATGTCTTGACGTACCGGGCGACCCACTTGTACATGTGGGTCCACCAGAAGGACTGAGAGACCGACAGAAAGGTCTTCTCGCGGCCCAAGTGGCCGCTGGAGGACGCGTCATGCGCCTCCGCGAGGATGTCGAACTTCAGATCCTCGTCGTTGGGTACAACCATCCGTTGAGGATCAGTGGGCTCCACCCGATAATAGAGGAGGCCCTCCTTCAACTCATATCGGTGGAGCCGTGAGCGCTGTCGCGACGAGAGCCAGTCGGACTTCGCGCTCGTTCCGGCCTTAAGGAACTTGACGATAGGCGCGACAGCCTCATCGTCCCGATACGCCATGCGTATCCGATCATATAGATCCGTTGTCACCCGCGTGATGTGGGCCAACTCATAGTCGGGACGCCGAGAGAGGGCG